CTACCGGACAATGGTGACCGTGCTATGAAGTTTGGATGGTGATGAGGGTAGAAAAAATCACTATTTATTTTCGCCTATAGGCGTTGGGAAGAGTTTTCCACATACATATATGGGCGATGATTTCATGCAACCTTTGTATAGTAATATGATGCAACAACCTTAAAAGAACCATCTTATACCCATTTGGTTCATCCAAAATTTGATATATACACTCTGTTCATTCTAATGAACAATAACAAAAAAATAAACAATTGAAAACACAATCTAGAAAATATTTTTTTAGCCCAATTAACATAAGCCGTTCATTTTGGTGAGATGCTTAAATCTAGGCCTTAGAATTATTTTTTTCATTTCCAATTTTTTGGATGGCTTTATTATCATTAGATAGAACAATGTTAAAAAAGAAAAAAATGATTTTGAGTTTATAAAGGCTAAGATCTTGAAATTCACAAAATGAATAGTCTAGATTCGTTTTTGGAGGGGACTCATTGTGACCGTATCTAGGGTTCAAATTGAACTTTTTCGTTTGGAGGGATTGATTATTGAGATGAAAAGAGTGTGTGTGCAAAATTTGGGGTCATATAAATACTACAAATATGGTTTTCTAGAAGTGTCGTTGCATTATACTAAGACACAATCGTTCCAATTGAAAGAGCCATATAATTTGCAAACAAATTCCCTGATGAAATCAAGGATAAAAAACAACTTCAAAGATTTTTAGGAAGTTTAAACTGTATTTCAGATTTTTATAAAGATATGGTTATAGACTGTAAACCCTTATTCCAAAGATTAAAAAAGAATCCTCCAGAATGGACTGAAGAACATACTAAAGCGGTTAAAAAAATAAAGCTTAAATAAAAAAAACAGCCTTGTTTGACAATTCATCATCCTAATGCTTTCAAAATTGTTGAAACTGATGCATTTGAATTAGGACTAGAAAGAATTCTTAAACAAAGATTCCCTAATGATGAAAAAGAGTAACTGGTTAGATTTACATCTACAAATTGGAATCATACACAACAAAAATATTCTACTGTTAAAAAAGAAGTTTTGGCTATTGTGCGCTATATCACCAAATTTGAAAGTGACATTTTAAACAAAAAGTTCCTAGCCAGAACTGCAAAGCAGTTAAAAGAAATTTAATCTAGCCTCAAAACATATTTTTGCAAGATATCAAGCTATACTCTATTTAATTTTGAAAGCGAATATGTTAAAGGAGAATCAAATCCATTGCATGACTTCTTGACATACGAATTTATGCAAGGACAAAGGAAGGCAAAAGACTTTGGCTCTAATTCAGAGCCCAGGTAAGACCTTAAGCAAAGGATCCACCTCTTCATCGTCCGTAATTAGGACACCACAGAACAGGTTGCAATATCTCAAAATCCTACGATGACTCAAAAGTCCCAATACTCTATTACCTCAGAAGACTCCATATATGGAAACATCTATTATTCCTCTAATAATAATAGAGGACGACCATGTGGCTCAAACGTCGATGAAAATAGCTGATATATACCTAAAAGGTCATGTGCACCCTAATATGGGAGGAACAGAAAGATAATACTTTGAAGTAATGCTGGTAGAAACAAAGTCACTTAATAAAACACCATTATAGAAGTAGTAATGAGCTAGCATACTCAAATATGCAAATATTAAATATTGTGTCTTATAAAGTCTGGGGCTTTGATCCACTAAAACTTATATATCTTTAAAGTAACGGCTCTAAAATAAGAACATATAATTATTATGATTATATTAGAGCTTGGGGCATGGTTTTCTCATGTCAGAATACAGCAGCAGCTCATAGCTAGTTCTTACAATTCAAATTGCAATCCTTAGATGACTTCCCCAATTGGTTTAAAAACTGGCTTTTTGTTTAGGGATCAAATCATGATATTCTCCCAAATGAGGTTCTAAGATCACAACAAAAATTTTC